CAAATACAGGCCATTTACCATTCAATGCCTTAATGACCAACTCTAATCGTGGGCTTTCAAAATTGACAAGTTCAGCGTGTTCTGATCTTCTACAATCAACTCTTTCAGAAGAGGCTTGCATAACTGCAGAAACTGAGATATTCTAACTATATCTGGACCTAAAAGTCTGATTCTCATACTGTGCCATCCACCTGATCACTTCAGCTCTCACCTTACAAATTGTCCACTGTGGATTGCCACTGATCAAATCTCTTAGCCTGATCCTCAATGTCTGATCTCTGACACCGTCACTGAAATTGATCATGCAGATTTTTTGAAGCTTTTCTTGCTGGTTGCTCATCTGTTTTAATTATTTGGTCTATTAAGGCCATCAAAGACTAAGAAAAATCAATTAAAGATTTGACTTCTAATAATTTATGATTGAAAAATCTGCATTGCAAAGAAATGAATATAAAATAACTGTAAGTTTCTCTAAAAGTATGAAATATGTTGATTTGTGTTAATAAGCAAGTCCACCCATGTTAGGCTTCTTATCACTTAGATTTCTGAATCTTAAGAGTGAATCCATTTACAGCAGGAACTGCGCAGCTAGCCATCAAACATTTGGTAAAGTAACATGACTACTGTAAAGTTTTGTAGGATCCTGTTAAAAATCACACAAGCATCACACCACATCTGGCATATATAGTTCTATTTTATACAGTACACCGCTACAGATTAATGAGGTACAACACACATCCTACGGCAAGGGGGAGCCAGGACGACAGGTCAGGGGGGAGATATCATCACCCCCACCGAAGATTGGATGCCAAGCCCCAAGTGCGATAGAAGGATTGTTGAGAATGAGAGGAGCTGACCTAAAAGATAGAATCATGGAAACCTGCATCCTCCATAGCCAGTTACCAAGACAACGTGAAGTACCCTCAGAAGATCTACTAGATGATGTGAATGCAGCACTACAGACGATACCTACCGCCACCATTACAGAGACTAACAAGCTGATCTAGACCATGGCAGCAGTGATCAGTGAGATGCTTGTCTACAAGTTGAACAGCCACAAGGAGCAGTACCCTCCATGGAGAAGGAGACTAGAGGGCAAGATCAAAATAGCACTGAGGGAGGTTAGCCAACTATCGGAGCTGCAGAATGGTGCGACAAAGAACGTGCCTAAGAAGTACAGCAAGCTGTCCGTACCTGAGGCCTTGGAAACTGCCAAGCAAAGACTCACAGCCTTGGCCAACCGCTTGAAGAGGTACAAAAGAGAAGGCGGGAGAATAAACTACATGTGGGTCCAAATTGTCATCAAACAGAGCTACAGACACACAAAAGCATTTGAAAATATAAACAACCAGACAATCAGCAGTGATTTAACTACTTTAAGACCTCTGTAAAAATTATTTCCACATCATGTACTGTATATATCACAGCATTCAGGGCCTTTATAAGAACAGACAAAATTACTAAACTGAATCAATTTCAGCTTTCATTTTTTATTATGTATATTTTAGTAATAATTACATTTCATTATCTATATCTTTACCAGACATTTGCCACACAGGTGTAGATACTGTAAGTGCAGCTCTCTTCACCTACCTAACTCTTCCTTTGCACTGACAGTCACACACAAACACACTGTATTCAACTAGAAAATCACAAAAAACATAATCTTACAGCTTTCACAAAAATATCGTCAATGAAAGAAGCTATGGTTGACTCTGACATGTCGATTCTTGCCAGTTTCTCTTTGCTTTCTGTCTCGTGTTTAGGGATAGGTATCGAAAACCGGTTCTTGTTGAGAACCGGTTCCACTGTTTCAATTGGTAAATGGACTGGTTCTTATATAGCGCTTTTCTACTCATCTGAGCACTCAAAGCGCTTTACACAACTTGTGCATTCACCCATTCACACAAGCACATCTCTCTAAGTGCTTTATAGCTAACATTCACACACATTCATACTCCGATGGATGCATCGGAGAGCAATTTCCTTGGGCAATCGGAGAATTGCCCAAGGATATTGCATCGGAGAGCAATATCCTTGGGCAATTCTTGCCCAAGGATATTTGGCATGCAGACTAGGCGAAGCCAGGAATCGAACCACCAACCTTCCGATCAGTAGATGACCTGCTCTACCACCTGAGCTACAGTCAGTTAACTAGAATTGTTTGCCATTTTTGCAAACGATTCCCTTATCGATTCCAGTCGCCCCGAATGACGTCACCACGTTGCG